AGAGCTGTTGCATTTAAAAGGAGACAGGAGAAAGGAGCAGACAGAAAGTAAAAAGTGGAAAGGAAGGGGTGGGGTACACTCAAACAGAAAACTTAAGACAAGCGAGGGATGTATGCCAGCAACTGTAAGCTAACTTTAGATTGGCTGACAGAGATCCAAATACACTCAAGCCACAAGATGTATTGCTAACAAGAAAAGGTGAAAGGGAGGAGCAAATAGTGGGACAGGCTCACAGGGTAATTATTTCTAATAAACTGATGCAATGCAATCTGGAACTGGTGGACACAGAAGACAGGGATCATAAAAAGAAAGGAGATCATGTGATGTCCAGTAGAACCGGAGGTCATCTGATAAGAAATAAGATCAGGAAAGGAGGCGCGCAGTCTGTAGTGGTCTTTGGCACGGCTCGCACTGATTTCTTCTGTCACTGATCTCTTCCTGTCATTTGTGGACTACTTAGAATTGGTTGCAGTGAATTGAATATTTTCTGCTTGTTATCTGTGTTCCTGCATACAATACACTTACCCTGTTTATTTCAATTACTAATTAGAATCTATTATAACTCTTTTTAAAGTTAATTAGCTAAGCTGTTTGTTTTGGCACAGGGCTCACTTTGGACTGGATCATGGATTGCTATGATATCCTGTACAGACATTCTTGATGCCCAGAGGATGAATTCTACTTACTTTGAAGATGCCCTGACGTGAGCTGTAGCGCCACCTGCAGGTCATTTAACCTGTGAAATATCTCAACATATACTGAACGGATTGGCACAAAATGTGTTACAGACATTTGTGGTTTCCATATGATGTATCCTAAAGACTTTGGTGATGCCCTGACCTTTCCTCTGATGCCACCATGAGGTTGAAGTGAAAATCTCCATAATATTTAATACAGACATTCATGCCCCCCCTCGGGATGAGTTGCAATCACTTTGCTGATCAACTGACTTTCCAAATTAAAAATACTATGGAATATGACCAAATACTTAATTAACAACTAATGACATTCCCATATTAAGCTAAGATGGTAAATATTGCACCTCTTTGCTAGCTTTGGGATTTTGAGCATGTTATGCTGATGTAAGCATTTAGCTCAAAGCCTAAGTACAGCCTCACAGCACTAGCATGACTGTAGATTCTTAGTCTTGTTATTAATGTGCTCTACACTGAGGCCAAAACTCCCATTCATTTGAATAAATCAGGCATATTGCTACTAGCATGAGGTCCATCTGGGAAGATTAATGTTGGGTGTGTGTTGTAGTAATACAGTCATTGCAATACTCTCATAAAGTTTTGTGACTCAAGACATGAGTGATCAAGTAGGCCTAGGCTTGCATAAGGAATGTTGCAACGTTTTGTGAACCTTTTCAGGAGAGTTTGTATGAAATCAGATATTGGACTTATTTACAGTATCTTTCCCAAAAGCACACATGCATACCAGAAGTGACCTATGCTCAGTTTAATGATCAAGGGAAGAATGTTGTCCTTGGCAGGGGAAATCTTCTTACTCAATGTTGTGGTATGTAGGGTCTTAACTCTCAGTGGTGAAGCATGAGGTCTACATCGGAATCAAGTGTGTTGAAACTAGATTAAAATTTGAATACAAAGACAAATCTGTTGTGCAACAGTTTTGGATCTGGAATTACTCTGACATTCCTTTGAGCTTCCGACCAAGTCCAGGGTGCATTATCTTCAGGGGATGAGTAAGAGATCTTCCTTGGAAACCAGTTTAGTAAGCTGAAAGTGGTGTTTGAGGTATGATGCAGTTTTCCCAGGAAGCAAGATAAAATTTGGTTGTATGCGTAAAAATCTATTTTATAAAGTGCTTTTTACAAAGTCTGTCCAGCCATTATGACACTGGCCTCATTGCTCTTGCACAAGATAAAGAAAATAGCTTCAAAATGCCAGCAGAGACACAAGGAATCTGTGGACACAGAGGGACCTCTGTTAGACTCATGCATTTTCCACGATCACATTACAGTAAGCCTTGCTTCAGTAAGTAAATGGACAACACTCATATTGTTGCACTGTGTATGTCTCTCGTGTTGGTCCCTGTTTTCACAAATCTACCAGTTGAACATTAAATACTTGCTTAATTCAGACACAGATGTTGAGAAAAAGAGCATCTGGGCACTAAAGCTGATGTAGGTTGTTTGCCAAAAGCACAAGGTCACCCTATCAGTGTCTCGACAAGTCATTAGTCACTGGATGGTACTGGATTTTTTTTCATGTAGTCTAGTGTTTTTTTTCATGTCCATTTCTCTGAGATATTTTCACAGCCATTTCCTCTTTGTCAGAGGGGGATATTTAAAGAGGTGGCGTTATCTCCCTATAAAGATCTTTATGAAGTTTACTTGTAGATGGCTCATTTCCTTTACTTATCCCCCACTCACTGTTCTCCGCTCTGGCATGTTCACAAAGAACAAGTACATAAGTAACCAGCACTTTTTTTACCAAGAAAAATTTAAGAATTAACTCAAAATTTGAAGAGTTTTCTTAAGAATCACTGAGAGTTTTCATTTTCTCTTTGTTAATTACCTTTCATGCCAACACTTTTCTCATTGCTTGGGGATTTCCATTAATATGAGACTTTGTTTGGTGTAACAGCAGAACAGACCTGAGCCACTACACACACAATGGAAATGCTTTAGAGGCTAAGTTTGAACTGCGTTTCTAGAAAAAACAGGAAGTACCCATTAAAAACAACGCAGATAGTGATCACACTATGTTTGATGACATTTAGTCAGACACACTTTTGAGAGTTTCAGTTCTGTTTTGCAGCATGTTTTGTTTTCAGTTCCACTGGCTTTGTTACCAGGAAAACGTATTAATAGTTCAAAGCGTACTGTTGGCATATGGCCAATAATAATCTATTAAAATTGTAATGGTAACCTTCTGAGTCTGTCATGACTGTGTGCATAGACTTCCTGTAGTGAGAGTGTGGAAAAAGTGCATGCAATGCCTTTTTTAAGTTCTTTTGACTAGGGAGTGTTTCAGCTACATGACTGGAATCTCCAAGCTTGTTTTCTTAAATGAAGCCCCCTGTTTGCCTTTCAGGGCCTCCCTTGTTGCATATCGTCTTCTATCATCCCCTTCTGCTCCCATCTGATGGACTGCTGAAATAACCTTTGACCCTAACTGGATTAAAGACATCTTGCTGTGTGCAGCTGTTTATTCTCAGCATTCTTACTTTCTCTGGTTTAACTACAAACACACATTGTTCTGCTTTCTATTTATCATTTCTGTGGGTCACAAGAGCTCAGGGAGGATGTGATTACACTGGGTGCTTTTTCCCTACTACAAAATCTGTGACTCAGCCTTTTTTTATTATTTATTGGTGGAGATATGTAATCACCCTAAGGTAACTTATGGCATCTATACAACCATTCCAAAATCTACCCAGCAATCCATATCCTACATATCCTGGAATAAGTTGTACTTGTGAAACAACCACAAACAGGATGTGACTGCATGCTGAGAAAAGTGGAAATTCCAGAGGTCATATAGGCTTCCTCCTGAAAGTAAAAGGCGCCTGATTGGCACCAAATTATTTCATCAACGGCCAACATGTTTACATATTGGCTTATTTTAAAGCTCCATTTAATTCAATAATGGATCTTATTGAATATATAAACCATTTCTCATTTTTGAATCAATATTAAACCAAGAATTAACCAAAGTAATAACACATTAGGTTTAAAATATGTTAACATGATGCTGGGAGAGCTGCAAACACTCAATCTGTCTTGAAATGTGTGTGTGTGGGTGTGAATCTATCCTCTGGTGACCTTAAGAAGTGTGGGCATAAGTAATGAAGCCTTCCACCATGCATACAAAACATTTTTGACGTTTTAGCCCAATTGAGAAAAGGAGCATGATACCGTGATATCACTAGTATGTTTTGTTCCTTACTAGTATGACTTTTTTAATTTAAAAAAGCTTTGGGTAAATATTTATTTAAATATATATAATATATTATAATATAATATATTTAAGCAGAATTTAAGCAGGAGAAAACAGCATCAAAGATAGATATAAGAAACATTTTGAAGGTAGTGATCCTATCAACTGGCTGACTGGTTTAAACAGCAGTGCGTCAAACCTGAAAACAAGTAGTTGAGCACTA